CTAGGCCCTTGCTCTTGCTATTTTGCACTCGCTAGGCCCTTGTTCTTGCAATTTTGCACACATTAGGCCCTTGTTCTTGCAATTTTGCACACGCTAGGCCCTTGTTCTTGATTTTTTGACGCTAGGCTCTTGCTCTTGCTATTTTGCACTCGCTAGGCCCTTGTTCTTGCAATTTTGCACTTGCGAGGCCCTTGTTCGTGCAATTTTGCACACGCTAGGCCCTTGTTCTTTTTATTTTGCACACGCTAGGCCCTTGTTCTTATATTTTGCACATGCTAGGCCCTTGTTCTTGCTATTTTGCACACGCTATGCCCTTGTTCTTTTTATTTTGCACACGCTAGGCCCTTGGTCTTGCAATTTTGCACATGCTAGACCCTTGTTCTTTTTATTTTGCACACGCTAGGCCCTTGTTCTTGCTATTTCGCGAATGCTATGCCCTTGTTCTTGTTTTTTTGCACACGCTAGGCCCTTGCTCTTGCTATTTTGCACTCGCTAGGCCCTTGTTCTTGCAATTCTGCACACGCTAGGCCCTTGTTCTTGCTATTTTGCACACGCTAGACCCTTGTTCTTGCTATTTTGCACACGCTAGGCCCTTGTTCTTTTTATTTTGCACACGCTAGGCCCTTGTTCTTGCTATTTTGCACACGCTATGCCCTTGTTCTTTTTATTTTGCACACGCTAGGCCCTTGTTCTTGCAATTTTGCACATACTAGACCCTTGTTCTTTTTATTTTGCACACGCTAGGCCCTTGCTCTTGCAATTTTGCACACGCTAGGCCCTTGTTCTTTTTATTTTGCACACGCTAGGCCCTTGTTCTTATATTTTGCACATGCTAGGCCCTTGTTCTTGCTATTTTGCACACGCTATGCCCTTGTTCTTTTTATTTTGCACACGGTAGGCCCTTGTTCTTGCAATTTTGCACATGCTAGACCCTTGTTCTTTTTATTTTGCAAACGCTAGGCCCTTGTTCTTGCTATTTCGCGAACGCTAGGCCCTTGTTCTTGATTTTTTGCACGCGCTAGGCCCTTGCTCTTGCTATTTTGCACTCGCTAGGCCCTTGTTCTTGCAATTCTGCACACGCTAGGCCCTTGTTCTTGCAATTTTGCACACGCTAGGCCCTTGTTCTTGCTATTTTGCACACGCTAGGCCCTTGTTCTTTTTATTTTGCACACGCTAGGCCCTTGTTTTTGCTATTTTGCACACGCTATGCCCTTGTTCTTTTTATTTTGCACACGCTAGGCCCTTGTTCTTGCTATTTCGCGAACGCTAGGCCCTTGTTCTTGAGTTTTTGCACACGCTAGGCCCTTGCTTGCTATTTTGCACTCGCTAAGCCCTTGTTCTTGCAATTTTGCACATGCTAGGCCCTTGTTCTTGCAATTTTGTAAACGCTAGGCCCTTGTTCTTTTTATTTTGCACACGCTAGGCCCTTGTTCTTTTTATTTTGCATACGCTAGGCCCTTGTTCTTGCCATTTTGCACACGCTATGCCCTTGTTCTTTTTAATTTGCACACGCTAGGCTCTTGTTCTTGCAATTTTACACATGCTAGACCCTTGTTCTTTTCATTTTGCACACGCTAGGCCCTTGTTCTTGCCATTTCGCGAACGCTAGGCCCCTGTTCTTGATTTTTTGCATACGCTAGGCCCTTGCTCTTGCTATTTTGCACTCGCTAGGCCCTTGTTCTTGCAATATTGCACACGCTAGGCCCTTGTTCTTGCAATTTTGCACACGCAAGGCCCTTGTTCTTTTTATTTTGCACACGCTAGGCCCTTGTTCTTTTTATTTTGCACACGCTACGCCCTTGGTGCATCGGCCAGTCTGGCCGGCATTTCGCACTCATAGTGCAGGTGGGGCCAGGGAGAACGGAAACGCTCGTTTCTCAAAAAGTAGAGGGAATCTAACGGTCTCACTCGATCAGAAGGTGGGAAATATATAAATCTAGTCAGCTAAAAAGGTTTGAAATGTATTCAGCGCATATGTATAGAGAAAATGGTGCATTGGCCAGGTCGGTCAGTATCGGAACTTAAAATGCAAATGCCAGGGAGAACGGAAGCGCTCAGATCTCGCATAGTACACGGAATCAAGTGGTCTCACTCAAAACGAAAGTAGGAAATATATTCATCTAGTGAACGTAAGGGTTTGAAAGGTAACTAACGCACATGTGTAGAGAAAATGGTGCATCGGCCAGTCTGGCCGGCATTTTGCACTCATAGTGCAGGTGGGGCCAGGGAGAACGGAAACGCTCGTTTCTCAAAAAGTAGAGGGAATCTAACGGTCTCACTCGATCAGAAGGTGGGAAATATATAAATCTAGTCAGCTAAAAAGGTTTGAAATGTATTCAACGCACATGTATAGAGAAAATGGTGCATTGGCCAGGTCGGTCAGTATCAGAACTTGAAATGCAAATGCCAGGGAGAACGGAAGCGCTCAGATCTCGCATAGTACACGGAATCAAGTGGTCTCACTCAAAAAGAAAGTAGGAAATATATTCATCTAGTGAACATAAGGGTTTGAAAGGTAACTAACGCACATGTGTAGAGAAAATGGTGCATCGGCCAGTCTGGCCGGCATTTCGCACTCATAGTGCAGGTGGGGCCAGGGAGAATGGAAACGCTCGTTTCTCAAAAAGTAGAGGGAATCTAACGGTCTCACTCGATCAGAAGGTGGGAAATATATAAATCTAGTCAGCTAAAAAGGTTTGAAATGTATTCAACGCACATGTATAGAGAAAATGGTGCATTGGCCAGGTCGGTCAGTATCGGAACTTCAAATGCAAATGCTAGGGAGAACGAAAGCGCTCAGATCTCGCATCGTACACGGAATCTAGTGGTCTCACTCAAATAGAAGGTAGGAAATAAATTCATCTAGTGAACGTAAGGGTTTGAAAGGTATCTAACGCACATGTGTAGAGAAAATGGTGCATCTGCCAGTCTGGCCGGCATTTCGCACTTATAGTGCAAGTAGGGCCAAGGAGAACGGAAACGCTCATTTCTCAAAAAGTAAAGGGAATCTAGCACTCTCACTCGATCAGAAGGTGGGAAATATATAAATCTAGTGAGCTTATAAGGTTCGAAAGGAATCTAATGCATATGTATATGGAAAATGGTGCATTGGCCAGGTCGGTCAGTATGGGAACTTAAAGTGCAAATGCCTGTGAGAACGGAACCGCTCAGATCTCGCATAATACACGGAATCTAGTGGTCTCACTCAAATATAAGGTAGGAAATATATTCATCTAGTGAACGTAATGGTTTGAAGGGTAACTAACGCACATGTGTAGAGAAAATGGTGCATCGGTCAGTCTGGCCGGCATTTCGCACTCATAGTGCAGGTGGGGCCAGAGAGAACGGAAACGCTCGTTTCTCAAAAAGTAGAGGGAATCTAACGGTCTCACTCAATCAGAAGGTGGGAAATATATAAATCTAGTCAGCTAAAAAGGTTTGAAATGTACTCAACGCACATGTATAGAAAAAATGGAGCATTGGCCAGGTCGGTCAGTATCGGAACTTAAGATGCAAATGCCTGGGAGAATGGAAGCGCTCAGATCTTGCATAGTACACGGAATCAAGTGGTCTCACTCAAATAGAAAGTAGGAATTATATTCATCTAGTGAACGTAAGGGTTTGAAAGGGAACTAACGCACATGTGTAGAGAAAATTGTGCATCGGCCAGTCTGGCCGGCATTTCGCACTTATAGTGCAACTAGGGCCAAGGAGAACGGAAACGCTCATTTCTCAAAAAGTAGAGGGAATCTAGCGGTCTCACTCGATCAGAAGGTAGGAAATATATAAATCTAGTGAGTTAATAAGGTTTGAAAGGAATCTAATGCATATGTATATGGGAAATGGTGCATTGGCCAGGTCGGTCAGTATGGGAACTTAGAGTGCAAATGCCTCGGAGAACGGAAGCGCTCAGATCTCGCATAGTACACGGAATCTAGTGGTCTCACCCAAATAGAAGGTAGGAAATAAATTCATCTAGTGAACGTAAGGGTTTGAATGGTAACTAACGCACATGTGTAGAGAAAATGGTGCATCGGCCAGTCTGGCCGGCATTTCGCACTTATAGTGCAAGTAGGGCCAAGGAGAACGGAAACGCTCATTTCTCAAAAAGTAAAGGGAATCTAGCGGTCTCACTCGATCAGAAGGTGGGAAATATATAAATCTAGTGAGCTAATAAGGTTCGAAAGGAATCTAATGCATATGTATATGGAAAATGGTGCATTGGCCAGGTCGGTCAGTATGGGAACTTAGAGTACAAATGCCAGGGAGAAAGGAAGCGCTCAGATCTCGCATAGTATGTCAGAGTATTATTGCTGATGCATGTTTGTAGGCTATAGTGGGGTAGCACATATGGGGTACAGCTTTCTAGGGTTGTATTTGTACCCAACTCTGACTTAGTCATTTCATTCCTGGTCATTTATTTCACATGGTATAGAGCGAGTTCCCTGTGGGAACGTTGCCTAGGGCCCACCGAAGCGCGCCCCGAGGCGCGCACCTTTTTTTTTTAGCGACCCCTCGAGTCGCCCTTTCCCTCGTGGCCCCGCCGTCCCTCAGACGCGGCCCCGCCACCCCTTTTGATCGCGGCCCCGCCACCCGATCGCGGCCCCGCCGCCACGTCGCGGCCCCGCCGCCCGATCGCGGCCCCGCCGCCAGCTACGCAGCGGCCCCGCCACCTGCTCGACGCGGCCCTGCCGCCTGCTCTGACGCGGCCCTGCCGCCTACTCTAACGCGGCCCCGCCGCGCGCTACGACGCGGCCCCGCCGCCTTCTCTTACGCGGCCCCGCTGCCTGATCTGACGCGGCCCCGCCGCCACCTCTGACGCGGCCCCGCCGCCTGATCTGACGCGGCCCCACCGCCACCTCTGACGCGGCCCCGCCGCCTGCTCTGACGCGGCCCCGCCACCCGCTACGACGCGGCCCAGCCGCCGACTACGACACGGCCCTGCCGCGAGCTACGCCACCGGCCCCGCCGCCCGCTACGCCGCCGGCCCCGCCGCCTGCTCAGCCGCGGCTCCGCCGCCCTCTCTGCCGGCCCCGCCGCTCCACCAGCCGCGGCCCCGCCGTCCCCGCCACTGCACCTGCCGGCCCTGCTACTTCGGCCCCGCTGCCCCTGATCTCGCGGCCCCGCCACCCACCTGCAGCAGCTGAGCAGCAGTGCAGCCGAGCCGCCCTGCCGCCGAGCCGCCCGGGAGCCGAGCCGCCCTGCACCCGAGCCGCCCTGCCGCCGAGCCGCCCTGCACCAGAGCTGCCCTGCCGCCGAGCCGCCCGGGAGCCGAGCCGCCCTGCACCCGAGCCGCCCAGCCGCCGAGCCGCCCGGGAGCCGAGCCGCCTTGCACCAGAGCTGCCCTGCCGCCGAGCCGCCCGGGAGCCGAGCCGCCCAGCAGCCGAGCCGCCCTTCTGCAGAGTTGCCCGGCCTGCCCTGCCTGGTGAGCAAAGTCCCACTGTCACTGCGTGCTCTTCCCCTACTGCTTGCAGTGCTTCGCTGTCGTCGTCATGGCTACCCCTAGTGTCCTGGCTTTTGACGCTGAGGGTCGCGCCATTGACTTTGAGGTCTGGGTAGACGACCTGCAGTTGTTTTTACAGTGCGATAGGGCAGACGGCCTCTCTCTCTTTGACCTTACCTCTGGCGCCTCTCCTGCTCCTGCTGCTGATGCTGATCCCACTGTGCGCTCTAAGTGGGCCACCCGCGATGCTGCTGCACGTCTTGCTGTGCGTCGCCACCTCCCTACCTCTGAGCGCGCGCACTTTAGTCAGTACAAGAGTGCTCAGACCTTGTACGACGCTGTAGTTGCGCGCTACTCCTCCCCTTCCACTGCTGCACTGAGCCGTCTCATGCTTCCCTACCTCTTTCCTGACCTCTCTGCCTTTCCCACTGTCGCTGACCTCATTACGCACCTCCGCACTAGTGACACTCGCTACCGCGCCGCCCTTCCTGCTGAGTTCTGCGCTAAGAACCCCCCCCCCCCATGTACATCACTCTCTACTACGTAGTCGCACGCCTCCCTGACTCCCTTCGCGTAGTCAGGGACCACTTTCTCGCAGTCTGTCCCACCACCCTCACCGTCGACGTCCTCGAGAAGGCCCTCCTCGCAGCGGAGAAGAGCATAGTCGCTGTAGGAGGTTCTCGTGGAGACCCTCGCACCCCCATCTTTGAGGGGTGCTCTCCTTCCCCCTTGCTGCCCTCTGTTGCCTCTGCTGCTGCTACCGACCTGCTTGGTCTTGAGTCGGTCGGCGCGGCGTCTGCCCCTAGTGGGAGACGTCGCTCTGGCAAGGGCAAGGGGGGCAAGGGCGCGGGTGGAGCTGGAGGGGGCGGTGGCGGTGGCGGCGGAGGCGGCGGAGGGAGTGGGGGTGGCGGCGGGAGTAGTGGCGGGGGTGGTGGTGGCGGTGGCAGCAGCGGCGGAGGCGGCGGTGGTGGTGGCAGCGGTGGTGGTGGTGGCAGCGGCGGAGGTGGAGGCGGCGGAGGAGGCAGCGGAGGAGGCGGTGGTGGTGGAGGAGGTGGAGCTGGTCGGGGTGGTACCCAGCAGCGGAGCGGCGGTGGTGGTGGCCAGCGCTCGCAGCAGCAGCAGCAGCAGCGTTCGCGGGACATCCCTCCGCCTCAGCAGCTTCGTGAGTGGTACACTCAGCGTCAGAGGGGTGGGGGTACTGGTCCTTGCACCTACGTCCTTCGTTCCGGCGACCGCGCGGGTGAGCAGTATGGGGGTGCCCACCCCACCCAGCGCTGCTTTGGCCGCCTGACGGACGCTTGGCGTCAGCAGTTCCCCGGGGCTAGTGAGATCCCTCGCTGGGATGAGCTTCTTAGGGCTGGTGTAGCGATCTTTGATCTTGATTTTGATGCTATCCTTGCTGCTATGTATGCTGTGACTATTAGTGAGGAGACTGAGGGTTACCGGTGTTTCCAGCCCGACCCGAGCATTGGTACTGCTGCGCTAGGTGCTTGTGAGGCTGCTGCTCTAGGTGCCAGTGCGTCTGCGCTCCCAGGTACTGGTGAGACTGCGCCCTCAGGTACTGCGTCGCCCTCGTCCTCCCTTACTTTCACACTTGACTCTGGGGCTTCTCGCTCCTTCTTTCGAGACCGCACCACCCTTACGCCGCTTGGCCGGCCGGTTGCCGTCTCCCTGGCTGACCCCTCTGGGGGTCCTGTCCTCTCTCACTTCTCCACTGTCCTCCCGTGTCCGGCTGCCCCTTCGGGCACCCTGTCTGGTCTGTACCTTCCCTTGTTCTCTACGAACTTGGTGAGTGGCGCGGACCTGCAGGATGTGGGGGTTCACCAGTTCACTCCTGCGAGTCAGCGGGTGACCCACTGCATGGAGGCACGCACAGGCCGACACCTGGCCACGTTCTCGCGTCGGCCGGGGTCGAGTCTCTACACCCTGACCGTTGAGTCTCCTCCTGTCCCTGCGTCTGGTCAGGTGGCTGCGTCAGGTCAGGTGCTTGCTGCTGCGTCCCGGTCAGGTCCTGAGTCTGCCCCATGTTCTTGTCGCCTCCTGTCTCACGAGACTCTCCTGTGGCACCACCGTCTTGGCCACCCCTCCTTGCCCCGTCTTCGGAGCATGGCTTCCCGTGTCCTTGTCTCTGGTCTTCCCCAGTCTCTCCCTCCCCTTCCCTCCGGGCCAGGACCTTCCTGTGTCCCCTGTGTCGAGGGTCGCCTCCGGGCTGCTCCTCACTCCTCCTAGTTCCCCCCAACCGAGGCTCCTCTGCAGACGCTTCACATGGACGTGTGGGGCCCAGCCCCCGTCCGTGGGCAGGGTCACGAGCGCTACTTTCTGTTGGTGGTTGACGACTACTCGCGTTACACCACAGTCCTCCCCTTGCGCAGCAAGGGTGAGGTCACAGAGGTGCTGATCGACTGGATCCGCGAGGCTCGTCTCCAGCTCAGGAAGAGCTTCGGCTCGGACTTTCCTGTTCTGCGTCTGCACTCGGACAGAGGGGGAGAGTTCTCCTCGCGCCTTATGCGAGACTACTGTCGTGCACGGGGGATCCGCCAGACCTTCACGCTTCCGGACTCTCCACAGCAAAATGGGATTGCTGAGCGCCGCATTGGCATGGTCATGGATGTCGCTCGTACGTCCACGATGCATGCGGCTGCCCCCCATTTTCTGTGGCCGTTTGCGGTGAGGTACGCGGCGCATCAGCTCAACCTTCACCCCAGGGTCTCTCGGCCCGCGATGTCCCCAGTCTTGCTGTGGACGGGGAAGGTTGGCGATGCGTCGACGTTCCGTGTCTGGGGATCTTGGGCGTTTGTCCGCGACTTGTCTGCGGACAAGCTGTCCCCTCGTGCTGCTTCCTGTGTCTTCCTTGGCTTCCCCACTGACGCTCCAGGGTGGCAGTTTTACCACCCCTCCTCTCGTCGTGTTCTGTCCTCCCAGGACGTCACGTTCGACGAGTCAATCCCCTTCTACCGCCTCTTCCCCTACCGCACTCCTTCCCTCCCCCCTCCGCCGGACTTCCTTGTGCCGGTTCCCCCCCCGGTAGACCCCCTCCCCCCTCAGGTTCCTGCCCCCTCAGGTGTGTCCCAGGTAGACGCAGTTGACCCGGTCGAGGTTACTGGTGACTCTGGTGCTGCTGCGGGTGCTGAGCCTGGGGGTGCTGACTCTGGGGGTGCTGTGCGCGGAGGTGCCGGGCCTGGAGGTGCTGCTACTGGGGGTGCTAAGCCTGGGGGTGCTGGGCCTGGGGATACTACTGCAGAGGGTGCTGCGCCGGGGGGTGCTGTGCCTGGAGCTGCTGAGCCTGGGGGTGCTGAGTCTGGAGCTGCTGAGCCTGGGGGTGCAGAGCCTGGGGTTTCTCCTGCTGCTGCGTCTCGACGGGAGCCCCTCTCTCCCCAGGAGCTGCGCGAGTGGTTTGCTCGCCGCTGGAGGCGTGCTGCTGGAGCTGGAGCTTCTTCGACCGTCGAGGGTGCTGGTGCTTCCGGTCCCGGAGCTGCTGGGCCTGCGGGTCCTCCTGGAGCTGGAGCTGCTGAGGGTGTTGGTGCTGAGACCACTGTTGTCTGTCCTCTCGGTGGTTCTGCTGCTGGTACTGCTGGAGGTCCTGCCGTTGGAGGTGTTGGTGGCGTTGGTACTGTCGCTGAGGGTGCTGGTGCTGTCCCTGCTGTGTCTGGAGCTGCTGCGCGGCCTCGGCCGTACTTCGCTCCGCTCCTGCAGCAGGTTCTTGGTCTTTCTCCTCCGGTAGAGGGTCCACAGCCTGTCCAGTCGCAGTCACTCTTGGAGCCTTCCTCTCCTCTGACTGCTCCCTCTCCTTACACTGGTCCTACTGGAGGTCTTACTGAGCGTCGTGAGCCTGCGTCTCGTCCCGCGTCGCCTGTTCGTGCTGCTCGCGCTAGTGGTCGCGGTTCGCGTCAGCGTCCTCCTCCTGTCCCTGGCACGCACCGGATGTCTCTGCGTCCGTCCACTGCTCCTCTGCGTGCCCCTTTGCCTTCTCCGCCTGAGTCCTCTCTTCCTGCGCTTGCCGACCCTGAGTCGGACTCTCTTCGTGCTGCCAGTCCTACTGTCCCGCGTCTGCTTTCTACTGTCGTCACTGACCCCTCGTTTGAGTCCACTGCTGCGTCTGCTCTTGTCGCTGAGCTCGTCGACTTTGCTGCTCGCTGTCGTCTAGACTACGCTGCTAGTCTTGTTGCTGAGTCTGCGTCTGTCTGTCCTCCGTCCGTCGGGGGTGAGTGTGCTCTTGGCACGGACGTCCTAGAGGACAGGCAGGAGGAGTTACAGTGTCTGGCTGCTGCTTCACCTCATCTCGCGTCTGTACTGCTTGCTCCTGAGGGAGACCCGGATGCACTAGACATCCCGACTCCGCGCTCTTACGCGGAGGCCGTAGAGGGTCCCTACTCCTCTCAGTGGCAGGCAGCTATGGATGTAGAGATGGCTTCCTGGAAGTCCACAGGCACCTACGTTGACGCAGTTCCCCCTCCTGAGGCGAACATCGTCAGTGGCATGTGGATCTTCCGGGTGAAGCGGCCGCCGGGCTCTCCACCTGTCTTCAAGGCGCGGTACGTTGCTCGTGGCTTCAGCCAGCGGCAGGGAGTTGACTACTTTCAGACCTTCTCTCCCACCCCGAAGATGACCACTCTTCGGGTGCTGCTGCACATAGCCGCTCAGCGCGACTACGAGCTTCACTCTCTCGACTTCAGCAGTGCGTTCCTGCAGGGTAGCCTGCACGAGGAGATCTGGCTGCGCCGTCCACCTGGCTTCACTGGGACTTTCCCTCCTGGCACCCAGTGGAGCCTCCGACGGCCAGTCTACGGTCTCCGCTAGGCACCGCGTGAGTGGCACGACACACTGAGGACTACGCTTGCGGCCCTTGGGTTTGCTCCTTCTACTGCTGACCCGTCGCTGTTTCTTCGCACCGACACTTCCCTGCCGCCGTTCTTCATCCTCGTTTACGTCGACGACTTGGTCTTTGCCACAGCGGACACTGCTGGACTCGCCTACGTGAAGTCCGAGCTGCTGAAGAGACACACGTGCACAGACCTGGGTGAACTGCGCAGCTACCTTGGCTTGCAGATCACTCGGGACAGAGCACGCCGCACCATTACCTTGACTCAGTCACACATGGTGCAGCAGGTCCTTCAGCGCTTCGGCTTCACGTACTCCTCGCCTCAGGCCACTCCTCTGTCTACTCGCCACTCGCTCTCAGCTCTGCCTTCGGATGAGTCCGTAGAGTCGAGTGGCCCGTACCCAGAGCTTGTTGGCTGCCTCATGTACCTGATGACCTGCACACGACCTGACCTTGCATACCCTCTGAGCATTCTTGCACGCTATGTTGCTCGTGGGAGACACCGACCAGAGCACATGGCTGCAGCGAAGAGGGTGTTGCGCTACCTGTGCAGTACGTCGGGCATGGGGCTAGTGCTTGGAGGGCTGAGTCCAGTGGTCCTTACAGGGCACGCGGACGCTTCTTGGGCTGACGACCAGGCTACGCAGCGGTCGTCACAGGGTTACACCTTCAGTCTTGGTTCCGGCTCTGTCTCGTGGCGGTCTACTCGCTCATCTTCGGTTCTCAGCTCCAGTTGTGAGGCTGAGATCTACGCTGGGGCCATGGCTGCACAGGAGCTTCGCTGGCTCACCTACCTGCTGACTGACCTTGGAGAGCCGCCTCGTTCTCCTCCAGTGCTGTACGTAGACAACAAGGCCATGCTGGCCTTGTGTCGAGAGCAGCGCTTGGAGCACAGAACGAAGCACATTGCTCTCCGCTACTTCCTTGCTCGTGAGCTGCACCAGCGTGGTCAGTTGCGACTTGCGTACGTGGCCTCTGAGGCCAACACTGCTGATGTGTTCACCAAGGCACTCGCGCCTTGTGACCATCAGCGCTTCTGCACCCAGCTGGGTCTTGTGCCTGTCTTGCCTTCGGGGCGCGCGATCCTTTTTTTTTTAGCGACCCCCCCGAGTCGCCCTTCCCCTGCGGCCCCGCCGCCCTTCGTTCGCGGCCCCGCCGTCCAGTCGCGGCCCCGCCCTTACGTCGCGGCCCCGCCCTTACGTCGCGGCCCCGCCACTAAGTCGCGGCCCCGCCACCAAGACGCGGCCCCGCCACCCAGTCGCGGCCCCGCCGCCTACTCGGACGCGGCCCCGCCGCCTGCTAAGACGCGGCCCCGCCGCCTGCTAAGACGCGGCCCCGCCGCCTGCTAAGACGCGGCCCCGCCGCCTGCTCAGCCGCGGCCCCGCCGCCCTCTACGACGCGGCCTCCGCCGCCTGCAGACGCCGCGGCCTCCGCCGCCTGCTCAGCCGCGACCCCGCCGCCCGCTACGACGCGGCCTCCGCCGCCTGCTCAGCCGCGGCCCCGCCGCCCTCTACGACGCGGCCTCTGCCGCCTGCTCAGCCGCGGCCCTGCCGCCTCCTACGACGCGGCCCCGCAGCCTGCTCAGCCGCGGGTGCTTCCAGCGGCCCTCCGCTGCATCCTGACGGCCCGCCGCTGCAGCCTGCGGCCCCGCCACTGCGCCTGTCCCGGCTCCGCCACTGCACCCTGACGGCCCCGCCGTCCCCTGTCTCGGCCCCACCGCTGCACCCTGACGGCCCCGCCGTCCCTTGTCCCGGCCCCGCCACTACACTGCAGCCGAGCCGCCCAGCAGCAGCCGAGCCGCCCAACAGCAGCCGAGCCGCCCAGCAGCAGCCGAGCCGCCCAGCAGCAGCCGAGCCGCCCAGCAGCAGCCGAGCCGCCCAGCAGCAGCCGAGCCGCCCAGCAGCAGCCGAACCGCCCAGCAGCAGCCGAGCCGCCCAGCAGCAGCCGAGCCGCCCGGTACCTGAGCCGCCCGAGCCGCCCGAGCCGCCCGAGCCGCCCGAGTCGCCCGAGCCGCCCGAGCCGCCCGAGCCGCCCGAGCCGCCCGAGCAGCCCGAGCCGCCTGCTGCTGACCTACCCGACTCTCCCATCCCGGTGAGACTTTCAGCTGCTGCCATGGCCACCCCCAATGTTCTCACTTTTGACGCTGAGGGGAGGGCCATTGACTTTGCCGTCTGGATCGAGGACCTGCAGCTGTACTTACTGTGTGATGCGGTAGATGAGGTCTCTCTCTTTGACTTTGTCTCTGGCGCTGTCCCTGCCCCGCCTGCTGATGCTGACTCTGCCGTTCGCTCCAAGTGGGCGACCCGCGATGCTGCTGCACGTCTTGCTGTGCGTCGCCACCTCCCTTCCTCTGAGCGTGCCCACTTTAGTCAGTGCAAGACCGCTCAGGCCTTGTACGACGCTGTAGTTGCGCGCTACTCCTCCCCTTCCTCCGCTACCCTTAGCCGCCTCATGCTACCGTTTCTCTTCCCTGACCTCGCTTCCTTTCCCACTGTCGCTGACCTCGTTACCCACCTCCGCGCTAGTGACACCCGCTACCGCGCTGCCCTTCCTGCTGAGTTCCGCGCTGCGAACCCTCCTCCCATGTACATCACTCTCTACTTTCTCGTCACCCGTCTCCCTGAGTCCCTTCGTGTCGTTAGGGACCAGTTTCTCTCTGTCTGTCCCACCACTCTCACTGTCGACCTCCTTGAGGAGTCCCTGCTAGCGGCTGAGAAGAGTATTGTCGCTGTAGGGGCCTCTCGGGGTGACCCTCGCACCCCCATCTTTGAGGGGTGTGGTCCCTCCCCCCTGCTGCCCTCTGTCGCCTCTGCCGCTGCGGCCGACCTCGTTGGTTTTGAGTCGGTCGGCGCGGCGTCTGCCCCCAGTGGCAGACGCCGCACTGGCAAGGGCAAGGGGGGCAAGGGAGCGGGTGGAGCCAGAGGGGGCGGTGGAGGAGGCGGTGGGGGTGGAGGGGGGAGTGGGGGTGGCGGGGGGGGTGGTGGCGGGAGTGGAGGTAGTAGTGGCGGCGGTGGAGGCGGAGGTGGCGGCGGAGGTGGTAGCGGAGGAGGCGGTGGGAGCGGTGGGAGCGACGGTCCTGGTGGGGGAGGTGGCGGTGGCGACGGGGGTGGCGGTGGAGGCGGGGGTGGCGGTGGAGGAGGGGGTCGGAGTGGCTCGTCCCAGCGGAGCAGCTCTGGGGGTGGTCAGCGCCAGCAGCAGCAGCAGCAGCAGCCACAGCAGCAGCAGCGCTCTCGCACCGTCCCCGGCCCTCAGCAGCTCCGTGAGTGGTACTTGCAGCGTCAGCGCGGTGGTGCGCTTGGTCCCTGCCCCTACGTTCTTCGCACTGGTGACCGTGCAGGGGAGAGGTGTGGAGGCGCCCACACAGCCCGTCGCTGCTTTGGCCGCCTGACCGACGCCTGGCGTCAGCAGTTTCCGGAGGCCGCTGAGATCCCCCGCTGGGGAGAGCTGTCTAGGGCTGGTGTAGCTATTTATGATCTTGATTTTGATGCTATTCTCTCTGCTATGTATGCTGTGACTGGTAGTGATGAGGATGACTGTTACCGGTGTTTCCCGCCCGACCCGGGCATTGGTACTGCCGAGTCAGGTACTAGTGAGGGTGCTGCTCTAGGTGCCAGTGCGTCTGTGCTTTCAGGTACTGGTGAGTCCGCCCTCTCAGGTACTGTGTCGGCTTCGGCCTCTCACACCTTCACCCTTGACTCTGGAGCGTCTCGCTCCTTCTTTAGGGACCGCACCACTCTCACGCCGCTGAGTCGGCCTGTTGCGGTGTCCCTGGCGGACCCCTCTGGGGGGCCTGTCCTGTCTCGCTTCTCCACTGTCCTCCCGTGTCCGGCGGCCCCCTCTGGCACCCTAACTGGTCTCTACCTCCCCTCGTTCTCGACGAACTTGGTGAGTGGTGCTGACCTCCAGGATGCAGGTGTCCACCAGTTCACCCCTGCTCGTCAGCGGGTGACCCACTGTACGGAGGCGGATACAGGTCGCCACCTGGCTACGTTTACACGTCGGCCGGGGTCGAGCCTGTACACACTGACCACTGCTTCTCCTCCAGGTACTGCGTCTGGTAGGGCCCCTTCGTCTGGTCAGGTGTTTGCTGCAGCGTCCAGGTCTGGTCCTGAGTCTGCCCCTTGTTCGTGTCGTCGTCTGTCTCACGAGACCCTCCTCTGGCACCACCGCCTTGGCCACCCCTCTCTGCTTCGGCTCAGAGGCATGGCCTCGCGGGTCCTTGTGTCTGGTCTTCCCCGGTCCCTCCCTCCCCTTCCTCCGGGCCCTGGCCCTGCCTGTGTCCCCTGTGTCGAGGGGCGCCAGCGTGCTGCCCCTCACTCCTCCCAGTTTCCTCCGACAGAGGCCCCGTTGCAGACGCTTCACATGGACGTGTGGGGCCCAGCCCGCGTCCGTGGACAGGGTCAGGAGCGCTACTTCCTGCTGGTGGTTGACGACTACTCGCGTTACACCACAGTCTTCCCCTTGCGCAGCAAGGGTGAGGTCACTCAGGTGTTGATCGACTGGATCCGCGCAGCTCGTCTTCAGCTTCGGAGAAGCTTTGGCTCTGACTTCCCTGTCTTGCGTCTGCACTCGGACAGAGGCGGAGAGTTCTCCTCTGCCCTCCTGAGTGCCTACTGTCGTGTGCGAGGCATCCGTCAGACCTTCACGCTTCCGGACTCACCACAGCAGAATGGGATCGCTGAGCGCCGCATTGGCATGGTCATGGACGTCGCTCGTACGTCCATGATGCATGCGGCTGCTCCCCATTTTCTGTGGCCGTTTGCGGTCAGGTACGCTGCGCACCAGATCAACCTCCACCCCAGGGTCTCTCGACCGGAGACCTCCCCAGCTCTGTTGTGGACGGGGAAGGTTGGCGATGCATCGGCGTTCCGGGTCTGGGGATCTCGGGCGTTTGTTCGCGACCTGTCTGCGGACAAGCTGTCCCCTCGTGCTTCTCCCTGCGTCTTCCTCGGGTTCCCCCCCGACGCCCCTGGGTGGCAGTTTTACCACCCCACCTCTCGACGTGTTCTGTCCTCCCAGGACGTCACGTTCGATGAGTCGGTACCCTACTACCGCCTCTTCCCCTACCGCACTCCGTCCCTCCCCCCACCCCCGCTCTTCTTGGTACCAGGTCCCCCCCCAGTAGTCCCCCTCCCCCCTCAGGGTCCTGCCCCTTCAGGTGTGTCTCAGGTAGACGCGGTCGAGCCTGTCGAGGTCACTGGTGACTCTGGTGCTGCAGCGGGAGCTGAGCCTGGGGGTGCAGAGTCTAGGGGTGCTGAGCCTGGGGGTGCTGAGCCTGGGGGTGCGGAGTCTGGGGGTGCTGGGCCTGGGGGTGCTGAGCCTGGGGGTGCTGTGCCTGGGGGTGCTGAGCCTGGGGGTGCTGTGCCTGGGGGTGCTGTGTCTGGGGGTACTGAGCCTGGGGGTGCTGAGCCTGGGGGTGCTGAGCCTGGAGGTGCCGAGCCTGGAGGTGCTGTGCCTGGGGGTGCTTCGTCTCGCCGGGAGCCGCTCTCTCCACAGGAGCTGCGTGAGTGGTTTGCCCGGCGCTGGAGGCGTGCCGCTGGTGCTGGTGGTTCTTCGGCTGCGGAGGGCACTGCTGCCACGCGACCTGGCGGTGCTCGTTCTGTGGGTGCTGGAGCTGCTGGGTCTGAGGGTTCTCCTGGAGCTGGTCCTGCTGAGGACGTTGGCGCTGAGCCTGCGGTTGGTGGTCCGACTGACGGTGCTCCTGGTGCTGCTGCTGGAGGTTCTGGAGCTTCTAGTGGTTCTGCTGGAGGTGCTGCTGGAGTGGGTGCTCCGGCCGGAGCTGCTGGTTCTGTTCCTGCTGTTTCTGGCGTCGCCGCGCGGTCTCGACCGTACTTCGTTCCGCTCTTGGAGCAGGTTCTTGGTCTTGCTCCTCCTCCTCCTCCCTTAGAGGGTCCGCAGCCTGTCCGGTCACAGCCACAGCTAGAGCCTGCCTGCTCCTTCTCCCTACGCTGGTCCGACTGGAGGCCTTACTGAGCGTCGTGAGCCTGCGTCTCGTCCTGCGTCGCCTGTTCGTACTGAGCGCGCTAGTGGTCGCGGGTCGCGTCAGCGTCCTCCTCCTGTCCCTGGCACGCACCGGATGTCACTGCGTCCGTCCACTGCTCCTCTGCGTGCCCCTTTGCCTTCTCCTCCTGCTTCCTCTCTTCCTGCTCTTGCCGACCCGGAGTCGGACTCTCTTCCTGCTGCCAGTCCTACTGTCACGCGTCTCCTTGCTACTGCTGTCACTGACCCTTCCTTCGAGTCGTCTGCTGCGTCTGCCCTTGTCACTGAGCTTGTCGACTTTGCTGCGCGCTGTCGTCTAGACTACGCTGCTCGTCTTGTCACTGAGTCTGAGTCCGCCTGTCCTCCGTCCGTCGGGGGTGAGTGTGCCCTTGGCACGGACGTCCTTGAGGACAGGCAGGAGGAGTTCCAGTGTCTGGCCGCCGCTTCACCTCGTCTCGCGTCTGTACTGCTAGCCCCTGAGGGAGACCCGGATGCACTAGACATCCCGACTCCGCGTTCTTACGCGGAGGCCGTAGAGGGTCCCTACTCCTCTCAGTGGCAGGCAGCTATGGATGCAGAGATGGCTTCCTGGAAGTCCACAGGCACCTACGTTGACGCGGTTCCCCCTCCTGGGGCGAACATCGTCAGTGGCATGTGGATCTTCAGGGTGAAGCGGCCGCCGGGCTCGCCGCCTGTCTTCAAGGCGCGTTACGTGGCTCGTGGCTTCAGTCAGCGGCAGGGAGTTGACTACTTTCAGACCTTCTCTCCCACCCCGAAGATGACCACTCTTCGGGTGCTGCTGCACATTGCCGCTCAGCGCGACTACGAGCTTCACTCTCTCGACTTCAGCACTGCGTTCCTGCAGGGTAGCCTGCACGAGGAGATCTGGCTGCGCCGTCCGCCTGGCTTCACTGGGACTTTCCCTCCTGGCACCCAGTGGAGCCTCCGACGGCCAGTCTACGGTCTCCGCCAGGCACCGCGTGAGTGGCACGACACACTGAGGACTACGCTTGCGGCTCTTGGGTTTGCTCCTTCTACTGCTGACCCGTCGCTGTTTCTTCGCACCGACACTTCCCTGCCGCCGTTCTACATCCTCGTGTACGTCGACGACTTGGTCTTTGCCACAGCGGACACTGCTGGACTCGCCTACGTGAAGTCCGAGCTGCTGAAGAGACACACGTGCACAGACCTGGGTGAACTGCGCAGCTACCTTGGCTTGCAGATCACTCGGGACAGAGCACGCCGCACCATTACCCTGACTCAGTCACACATGGTGCAGCAGGTCCTTCAGCGCTTCGGCTTCACGTACTCCTCGCCTCAGGCCACTCCTCTGCCTACTCGCCACTCACTCTCAGCTCTGCCTTCGGATGAGTCCGTAGAGTCGAGTGGTCCGTATGCAGAGCTTGTTGGCTGCCTCATGTACCTGATGACCTGCACACGACCTGACCTTGCATACCCTCTGAGCATCCTTGCACGCTATGTTGCTCCTGGGAGACACCGACCAGAGCACATGGCTGCAGCGAAGAGGGTATTGCGCTACCTGTGCAGTACGTCGGGCATGGGGCTAGTGCTTGGAGGGCGGAGTCCAGTGGTCCTTACTGGGCACGCAGACGCTTCTTGGGCTGACGACCAGGCTACGCAGCGGTCGTCACAGGGTTACACCTTCAGCCTTGGTTCCGGCTCTGTCTCGTGGCGGTCTACTCGCTCGTCTTCGGTTCTCGGCTCCAGTTGTGAGGCTGAGATCTACGCCGGGGCCATGGCTGCACAGGAGCTTCGCTGGCTCACCTACCTGCTGACTGACCTTGGAGAGCTGCCTCGTTCTCCTCCAGTGCTGTACGTAGACAACAAGGCCATGTTGGCCTTGTGTCGAGAGCAGCGCTTGGAGCACAGAACGAAGCACATTGCTCTCCGCTACTTCCTTGCTCGTGAGCTGCAGCAGCGTGGTCAGTTGCGACTTGCTTACGTGGCCTCTGAGGCCAACACTGCTGATGTGTTCACCAAGGCACTTGCGCCTTGCGACCATCAGCGCTTTTGTACCCAGCTGGGTCTTGTACCTGTCTTGCCTCACTTGCTCTCTTCTTGACTTAACTTGTACCTTGACATATATATACCTGCTCTTGCTTGTCTAGTTTTATATATATGTCTGTACTCCTGCATGTGAACTGGCCTCTGGCCTTACTCTTGTGCTCGGACTGTGTGGTGACTTTGTGATCCACCCTGAGCTTGCTTTGTTTTACTTGACTGGTCTTGTGACCCCTTGTTCTCCCCCACTTTGCCTATGGGGGTGTGTCAGATTATTATAGCTGATGCATGTTTGTAGGCTATAGTGGGGTAGCACATATGGGGTACAGTTTGCTAGGGTTGTATTTGTACCCAACTCTGACTTAGTCAATCCATTCCTGTTTATCACTTTCACAGTAGGAAATAAATTCATCTAGTGAATGTAAAGGTTTGAAAGGTAACTAACCTACATGTGTAGAGAAAATGGTGCATCGGCCAGTCTGACCGGCATTTCGCACTTATAGTGCAAGTAGGGCCAAGGAGAACGGAAACGCTCATTTCTCAAAAAGTAAAGGGAATCTAGCGGTCTCACTCGATCAGAAGGTGGGAAATATATAAATCTAGTCAGCTAATAAGGTTCGGAAGGAATCTAATGCATATGTATATGGAAAGTGGTGCATTGGCCAGGTCGGTCAGTATGGGAACTTAGAGTGCAAATGCCTGGGAGAACGGAACCGCTCAGATCTCGCATAATGCACGGAATCTAGTGGTCTCACTCAAATAGAAGGTAGGAAATAAATTCATCTAGTGAACGTAAGGGATTGAAAGGTAACTAACGCACATGTGTGGAGAAAATGGTGCATCGGCCAGTCTGGCCGGCATTTCGCACTTATAGTGCAAGTAGGGCCAAGGAGAACGGAAACGCTCATTTCTCAAAAAGGAAAGGGAATCTAGCGGTCTCACTCGATCAGAAGGTGGGAAATATATAAATCTAGTGAGCTAATAAGGTTCGAAAGGAATCTATTGCATATGTATATGGAAAATGGTGCATTGGCCAGGTCGGTCAGTATGGGAACTTAAAATGCAAATGCCAAGGAGAACGGAAGCGCTCAGATCTCGCATAGTACACGGAATCTAGTGGTCTCACTCAAATAGAAGGTAGGAAATAAATTCATCTAGTGAACGTAAGGGTTTGAAAGGTAACTAACGCACATGTGTAGAGAAAATGGTGCATCGGCCAGTCTGGCCGGCATTTCGCACTTATCGTGCAAGTAGGGCCAAGGAGAATGGAAACGCTCATTTCTCAAAAAGTAGGGTTTAGGGTACGTGGAGGTAGACGTGGAGTGGACGTGGACGTGGACGTGGACGTGGACATGGACGTGGACGTGGACGTGGACGTGGACATGGACGTGGACGTGGACGTGGACGTGGACCTGGACGTGGACGTGGACGTGGACGTGGACATGGACGTGGACGTAGACGTAGACGTAGACGTGGACGTGGACATGGACGTGGACGTGGACGTGGACGTGGACGTGGAGGACGTGGACGTGGACGTGGACGTGGACGTGGAGAACTTGGACGTGGACATGGACGTTGTCGGATTATCATAACTGATGCATGTTTGTAGGCTATAGTGGGGTAGCACATATGGGGTACAGCTTTCTAGGGTTGTATTTGTACCCAACTCTGACTTAGTCATTTTCATTCCTGTTTTCCTTGCTTCACATGGTATAGAGCGGGTCCTTGCCTTAGGACCATTTTTTTTAGGGCCCACCGAAGCGCGCCCCGAGGCGCGCCTTTTTTTTAGCGACCCCTCGGGTCGCCTTTTCCCTCGCGGCCCCGCTGTCCCTCAGACGCGGCCCCGCCACCTCTCCTGATCGCGGCCCCGCCGCCTGCTTGACGCGGCCCCGCCGCCTCCCCTGACGCGGCCCCGCCGCTTCCCCTGACGCGGCCCCGCCGCCTCCCCTGACGCGGCCCCGCCGCCTCCCCTGACGCGGCCCCGCCGCCTCCCCTGACGCGGCCCCGCCTCTACTGCCGCGGCCCCGCCGCCGCCTCTGACGGCCCCGCCGCTGCACCCTACGGCCCGACGCTGCACCCAGCGGCCCGCCGCCTCTGACGGCCCCGCCGCTGCACCCTACGGCCCGCCACTGCTCCTGCCGGCCCGCCGCCCCACCTGACGGCCCCGCCGCTGCTCCTGCCAGCCCGCCGCTTCTCCTGCCGGCCCGCCGCTGCACCTGCCGGCCCGCCGCTGCACCCAGCGGCCCGCCGCTTCATCTGACGGCCCCGCCGCTGCACCTGCCGGCCCGCCGCGGCACCCTACGGCCCGCCGCTGCACCCTACGGCCCGCCGCCTGCACCTGCCGGCCCGCCGCTGCACCTGCCGGCCCGCCGCTGCACCTGCCGGCCCGCCGCTGCACCTGCCGGCCCGCCACTGCACCGGTCTACCCGCCGCTGCACCTGACGGCCCCGCCCCTGCGTCTCCCGGGAGCCGAGCCGCCCAACGCCGAGCCGCCCGGGACCCGAGCCGCCCTGCCGCCGAGCCGCCCGGGAGCCGAGCCGCCCTGCACCCGAGCCGCCCAGCCGCCGAGCCGCCCGGGAGCCGAGCCGCCCTGCGCCCGAGCCGCCCAGCCGCCGAGCCGCCCGGGAGCCGAGCCGCTGTGCACCCGAGCCGCACGGTCGCTGAGCCGCCTTTCTGCATAGCTGCACGACCTGCCCTGCCTGGTGAGCACAGTCCCACTGACACTGCGAGCTCTTTCCCTACTGCTTGCACTGCGTCGCCGTCGTCGCCATGGCTACCCCTAGTGTCCTAGCTTTTGACGCTGAGGGTCGCGCCATTGATTTTGAGGTCTGGTTAGATGACCTGCAGCTGTTCTTACAGTGCGACAGGGCTGACGACCTTTCTCTCTTTGACCTCACCTCTGGCGCCTCTCCTGCTCCTGCTGCTGATGCTGATCCCGCTGTCCGCTCTAAGTGGGCCACCCGCGATGCTGCTGCACGTCTTGCTGTGCGTCGCCACCTCCCTACCTCTGAGCGTGCGCACTTTAGTCAGTACAAGAGTGCTCAGACCTTGTACGACGCTGTAGTTGCGCGCTACTCCTCCCCTGCCACTGCTGCACTGAGCCGTCTCATGCTTCGCTACCTCTTTCCTGACCTCTCTGCCTTTCCCACTGTCGCTGACCTCATTACGCACCTCCGCACTAGTGACACTCGCTACCGCGCCGCCCTTCCTGCTGAGTTCTGCGCTAAGAACCCCCCCCCCCATGTACATCGCTCTCTACTACGTAGTCGCGCGCCTCCCTGACTCCCTTCGCGTCGTCAGGGACCACTTTCTCGCAGTCTGTCCCACCACCCTCACCGTCGACCTCCTCGAGAAGGCCCTCCTCGCAGCGGAGAAGAGCATAGTCGCTGTAGGTGCTTCTCGTGGTGACCCTCGCACCCCCATCTTTGAGGGGTGCTCTCCTTCCCCCTTGCTGCCCTCTGTTGCCTCTGCTGCTGCTGCCGACCTGCTTGGTCTTGAGTCGGTCGGCGCGGCGTCTACCCCTAGTGGGAGACGTCGCTCCAGCAAGGGCAAGGGGGGCAAGGGCGCGGGTGGAGCTGGAGGGGGCGGTGGCGGTGGCGGCGGTGGCGGCGGAGGGAGTGGGGGTGGCGGCGGGACTAGTGGTGGAGGTGGTGGTGGTGGTGGTGTCAGAACTATATAGCTTATACTATTGTGTAGGCTATAGTGGGGTATCCCATAGGGGGTACAACCCAATTAGGGTTTCCTATTTGTACTCACTTCTTTCATAGTCATTCCATTCTCGTTCTCTATTTCACATGGAATCAGAGCAGGTCCCCTACTAGGGACTGTTTCGTGGGCCCACCGAAGCGCGCCCCGAGGCGCGCGTCTTTTTTTAGCGACCCGTAGTGTCGCCCTCCCTAGCGGCCTGTCGAGCCGCCCTACCTTGCGGCCCCGCCGCCCTATCGCGCGGCCTCGCCGCCCTAAGTCGCGGCCTGCCCGCCGCCCTACTTCGACGGCCCCGCCGCCCTACGTCGCGGCCCCGCTGCCCTACGTCCCGGCCCGCCCGCCGCCCTACTTCGACGGCCCGCCCGCCGCCCTACGTCGCGGCCCCGCCGCCCTACGTCCCGGCCCGCCCGCCGCCCTACTTCGAAGGCCCGCCCGCCGCCCTACGTCGCGGCCCCGCCGCCCTCAGCTACGCGGCCCCGCCGCCTTCTGCTACGCGGCCCTGCCGCCCTCTGCTACGCGGCCACGCCGCCCCTCGATCGCGGCCCCGCCGCCCTCTGCTACGCGGCTCCGCCGCCCTCTGCTACGCGGCCCCGCCGCCCTCTGCTACGCGGCCCCGCCGCCCTCTCCTACGCGGCACCGCCGCCCTCTGCTCCGCGGCCCCGCCGAGCCGCCCAGCATCAGCCGAGCCGCCCAGCAGCAGCCGAGCCGCCGCCGAGCCGCCGCCGCCTGCGCCGCCCGAGCCGCCGCCGAGCCGCCCAGCAGCAGCCGAGCCGCCGCCGAGCCGCCGCCGCCCGAGCCGCCGCTGAGCTGCGACCGAGCCGCCGCCCGAGCCGCCCGAACCGCCCGAGCCGCCCGAGCCGCCCGAGCCGCCCGAGCCGCCCGAGCCGCCCGAGCCGCCCGAGCCGCCCGAACCGCCCGAGCCGTGCTACTGTTCCTGAGCTGTGTTCTTCTGCTGCTGACCTACCCGACTCTCCCAGCCCGGTGAGACTTCCAGCTGCTGCCATGGCCACCCCCAATGTTCTTACTTTTGACGCTGAGGGGAGGGCCATTGACTTTGCCGTCTGGATTGAAGACCTGCAGCTGTACTTACTGTGTGATGCGATAGATGAGGTCTCTCTTTTTGACTTTGTCTCTGGCGCTGTTCCTGCCCCACCTGCTGATGCTGACTCTGCCGTTCGCTCCAAGTGGGCGACCCGCGATGCTGCTGCACGTCTTGCTGTGCGTCGCCACCTCCCTTCCTCTGAGCGTGCCCACTTTAGTCAGTGCAAGACCGCTCAGGCCTTGTACGACGCTGTAGTTGCACGCTACTCCTCCCCTTCCTCCGCTACCCTTAGCCGCCTCATGCTACCGTTTCTCTTCCCTGACCTCGCTTCCTTTCCCACTGTCGCTGACCTCGTTACCCACCTCCGTGCTAGTGACACCCGCTACCGCGCTGCCCTTCCTGCTGAGTTCCGCGCTGCGAACCCTCCTCCCATGTACATCACCCTCTACTTTCTCGTCACCCGTCTCCCTGAGTCCCTTCGTGTCGTTAGGGACCAGTTTCTCTCTGTCTGTCCCACCACTCTCACTGTCGACCTCCTTGAGGAGTCCCTGCTAGCGGCTGAGAAGAGTATTGTCGCTGTAGGGGCCTCTCGGGGTGACCCTCGCACCCCCATCTTTGAGGGGTGTGGTCCTTCCCCCCTGCTGCCCTCTGTCGCCTCTACCGCTGCGGCCGACCTCACTGGTTTTGAGTCGGTCGGCGCGGCGTCTGCCCCCAGCGGCAGACGCCGCTCTGGCAAGAGCAAGGGGGGCAAGGGAGCGGGTGGAGCTCGAGGGGGCGGTGGAGGAGGCGGTGGGGGTGGCGGGGGGAGTGGGGGTGGCGGTGGGGGTGGTGGCGGGAGTGGAGGTACTGGTGGCGGCGGTGGAGGCGGAGGTGGCGGCGGAGGTGGTAGCGGAGGAGGCGGTGGGAGCGGTGGGAGCGACGGTCCTGGTGGGGGAGGTGGCGGTGGAGACGGGGGTGGCGGTGGAGGCGGGGGTCGGAGTGGCTCGTCCCAGCGGAGCAGCTCTGGGGGTGGTCAGCGCCAGCAGCAGCAGCAGCAACAGCAGCAGCCGCAGCAGCAGCCACAGCAGCAGCAGCGCTCTCGCACCGTCCCCGGCCCTCAGCAGCTCCGTGAGTGGTACTTGCAGCGTCAGCGTGGTGGTGCGCTTGGTCCCTGCCCCTACGTTCTTCGCACAGGTGACCGTGCAGGGGAGAGGTGTGGAGGCGCCCACACAGCCCGCCGCTGCTTTGGCCGCCTGACCGACGCCTGGCGTCAGCAGTTTCCGGAGGCCGCTGAGATCCCCCGCTGGGGAGAGCTGTCTAGGGCTGGTGTAGCTATTTATGATCTTGATTTTGATGCTATTCTCTCTGCTATGTATGCTGTGACTGGTAGTGATGAGGATGACTGTTACCGGTGTTTCCCACCCGACCCGGGCATTGGTACTGCCGCGTCAGGTACTAGTGAGGCTGCTGCTCTAGGTGCCAGTGCGTCTGTGCTCTCAGGTGCTGGTGAGTCTGCCCTCTCAGGTACTGTGTCGGCTTCGGCCTCTCACACCTTCACCCTTGACTCCGGAGCGTCTCGCTCCTTCTTTAGGGACCGCACCACTCTCACGCCGCTGAGTCGGCCGGTTGCGGTGTCCCTGGCTGACCCCTCTGGGGGGCCTGTCCTGTCTCGCTTCTCCACTGTCCTCCCGTGTCCGGCGGCCCCCTCTGGCACCCTGACTGGTCTCTACCTCCCCTCGTTCTCGACGAACTTGGTGAGTGGTGCTGACCTCCAGGATGCGGGTGTCCACCAGTTCACCCCTGCTCGTCAGCGGGTGACCCATTGCACGGAGGCGGATACAGGTCGTCACCTGGCTACGTTTACACGTCGGCCAGGGTCGAGCCTGTACACACTGACCACTGCTTCTCCTCCAGGTGCTGAGTCTGGTAGGGTCCCTTCGTCTGGTCAGGTGTTTGCTGCAGCGTCCAGGTCTGGTCCTGAGTCTGCCCCCTGCTCGTGTCGTCGTCTGTCTCACGAGACCCTCCTCTGGCACCACCGCCTTGGCCACCCCTCTCTGCTTCGGCTCAGAGGCATGGCCTCGCGAGTCCTTGTGTCTGGTCTTCCCCGGTCTCTCCCTCCCCTTCCTCCGGGCCCTGGCCCTACCTGTGTCCCCTGTGTCGAGGGGCGCCAGCGTGCTGCCCCTCACTCCTCCCAGTTTCCTCCGACAGAGGCCCCGTTGCAGACGCTTCACATGGACGTGTGGGGCCCAGCCCGCGTCCATGGACAGGGTCAGGAGCGCTACTTCCTGCTGGTGGTTGACGACTACTCGCGTTACACCACAGTCTTCCCCTTGCGCAGCAAGGGTGAGGTCACTGCGGTGTTGATCGACTGGATCCGCGCAGCTCGTCTCCAGCTTCGGAGGAGCTTTGGCTCTGACTTCCCTGTTTTGCGTCGGCACTCGGACAGAGGCGGAGAGTTCTCCTCTGGCCTCCTGAGTGCCTACTGTCGTGCACGAGGCATCCGTCAGACCTTCACGCTTCCGGACTCATCACAGCAGAATGGGATTGCTGAGCGCCGCATTGGCATGGTCATGGACGTCGCTCGTACGTCCATGATGCATGCGGCTGCTCCCCATTTTCTGTGGCCGTTTGCGGTCAGGTACGCTGCGCACCAGATCAACCTCCACCCCAGGGTCTCTCGACCGGAGACCTCCCCAGCCCTGCTGTGGACGGGGAAGGTTGGCGATGCGTCGGCGTTCCGGGTCTGGGGATCTCGGGCGTTTGTTCGCGACGTGTCTGCGGACAAGCTGTCCCCTCGTGCTTCTCCCTGCGTCTTCCTGGGGTTCCCCCCCGACGCTCCTGGGTGGCAGTTTTACCACCCCACCTCTCGACGTGTTCTGTCCTCCCAGGACGTCACGTTCGACGAGTCGGTACCCTACTACCGCCTCTTCCCCTACCGCACTCCGTCCCTCCCCCCACCCCCGCTCTTCCTGGTACCAGGTCCCCCCTCGGTAGTCCCCCTCCCCCCTCAGGGTCCTGCCCCTTCAGGTGTGTCCCAGGTAGACGCGGTCGAGCCTGTCGAGGTCACTGGTGACTCTGGTGCTGCTGCGGGAGCTGAGCCTGGGGGTGCGGAGTCTGGGGGTGCTGAGCCTGGGGGTGCTGAGCCTGGGGGTGCTGAGCCTGGGGGTGCTGAGCCTGGGGGTACTGAGCCTGGGGGTACTGAGCCTGGGGGTGCTGTGCCTAGGGGTGCTGAGCCTGAGGGTGCTGCGTCTGGGGGTGCTGAGCCTGGAGGTGCCGAGCCTGGGGGTGCTGTGCCTGGGGGTGCTGAGCCTGGGGGTGCTGTGCCTGGGGGTGCTTCGTCTCGCCGGGAGCCACTCTCCCCGCAGGAGCTGCGTGAGTGGTTTGCCAGGCGCTGGAGGTGTGCTGCTGGTGCTGGTGGTTCTTCGGCTGCAGAGGGTACTGCTGCCTCGCGTCCCGCCGGTGCTCGTACTGTGGGTGCTGGAGCTGCTGGGTCTGAGAGTTCTCCTGGAGCTGGTGCTACTGAGGGTGTTGGCGCTGAGCCTGCCGTTGGCGGTCCGACTGACAGTGCTCCTGGTGCTGCTGCTGGAGGTTCTGGAGCTTCTGGTGGTGCTGCTGGAGGTGCTGCTGGAGTGGGTACTCCTGCCGGGGCTGCTGGTACTGTTCCTGCTGTTTCTGGTGTCGCCGTGCGGCCCCGACCTTACTTCGTTCCGCTCCTCCAGCAGGTTCTTGGTCTTCCGCCTCCTCCTCCTCCTCCCTTAGAGGGTCCGCAGCCTGTCCGGTCACAGCCACAGCTACAGCCTGCCTCTCCTTTGCCTGCTCCGTCTCCCTACACTGGTCCGACTGGAGGTCTTACTGAGCGTCGTGAGCCTGCGTCTCGTCCTGTGTCGCCTGTTCGTACTGAGCGCGCTAGTGGTCGCGGGTCGCGTCAGCGTCCTCCTCCTGTCCCTGGCACGCACCGGATGTCACTGCGTCCGTCCACTGCTCCTCTGCGTGCCCCTTTGCCTTCTCCTCCTGCTTCCTCTCTTCCTGCTCTTGCCGACCCGGAGTCGGACTCCCTTCGTGCTGCCAGTCCTACTGTCACGCGTCTCCTTGCTACAGCTGTCACTGACCCTTCCTTCGAGTCGTCTGCTGCGTCTGCCCTTGTCACTGAGCTTGTCGACTTTGCTGCGCGCTGTCGTCTAGACTACGCTGCCCGTCTTGTCACTGAGTCTGAGTCCGCCTGTCCTCCGTCCGTCGGGGGTGAGTGTGCCCTTGGCACGGACGTCCTTGAGGACAGGCAGGAGGAGTTCCAGTGTCTGGCCGCCGCTTCACCTCGTCTCGCGTCTGTACTGCTAGCCCCTGAGGGAGACCCGGATGCACTAGACATCCCGACTCCGCGCTCTTACGCGGAGGCGATAGAGGGTCCCTACTCCTCTCAGTGGCAGGCAGCTATGGATGCAGAGATGGCTTCCTGGAAGTCCACAGGCACCTACGTTGACGCTGTTCCCCCCCCTGGGGCGAACATCGTCAGTGGCATGTGGATTTTCAGGGTGAAGCGGCCGCCGGGTTCTCCGCCTGTCTTCAAGGCGCGTTACGTGGCTCGTGGCTTCAGTCAGCGGCAGGGGGTTGACTACTTTCAGACCTTCTCCCCCACCCCGAAGATGACCACTCTTCGGGTCCTGCTGCACGTTGCTGCTCACCGTGACTACGAGCTGCACTCTCTCGACTTCAGCACAGCTTTCTTGCAGGGCAGCCTGCACGAGGAGATCTGGCTGCGTCGCCCACCTGGCTTCACTGGGTCTTTCCCTCCTGGTACCCAGTGGAGTCTCCGGCGTCCAGTCTACGGTCTCCGCCAGGCGCCACGTGAGTGGCACGACACACTGAGGACTACGCTCGCGGCACTTGGGTTTGCTCCTTCTACTGCCGACCCGTCGCTGTTTCTGCGCACCGACACCTCTCTGCCGCCGTTCTACATCCTCGTGTACGTCGACGACTTGGTCTTTGCCACAGCTGACACTGCTGGACTCGCCTACGTGAAGTCCGAGCTGCAGAAGAGACACACGTGCACTGACCTGGGTGAACTGCGCAGCTATCTTGGCTTGCAGATCACCCGGGACAGAGCACGCCGCACCATTACCCTGACTCAGTCACACATGGTGCAGCAGGTCCTTCAGCGCTTCGGCTTCACGTACTCCTCGCCTCAGGCCACTCCTCTGCCTACTCGCCACTCGCTCTCAGCTCTGCCTTCGGATGAGTCCGTAGAGTCGAGTGGCCCGTATGCAGAGCTTGTTGGCTGCCTCATGTACCTGATGACCTGCACACGACCTGACCTCGCATACCCTCTTAGCATTCTCGCACGCTATGTTGCTCCTGGGAGACACCGACCAGAGCACATGGCTGCAGCGAAGAGGGTGTTGCGCTACTTGTGCAGTACGTCGGGCATGGGGCTAGTGCTTGGAGGGCGCAGTCCAGTGGTCCTCACTGGGCACGCGGACGCTTCTTGGGCTGACGACCAGGCTACGCAGCGGTCGTCACAGGGTTACACCTTCAGCCTTGGTTCCGGCTCTGTTTCGTGGCGGGCTACCTGCTCGTCTTCTGTTCTCGGCTCCAGTTGTGAGGCTGAGATCTACGCCGGGGCTATGGCTGCACAGGAGTTACGCTGGCTCACCTACCTGTTGACCGACCTTGGAGAGCAGCCTCGTTCTCCTCCGGTCCTGTACGTAGACAACAAGGCCATGCTGGCCTTGTGTCGAGAGCAGAGACTGGAGCACAGAACGAAGCACATTGCTCTCCGCTACTTTCTTGCTCGTGAGCTACAGCAGCGTGGACAGTTGCGACTTGCGTACGTGGCCTCTGAGGCCAACACTGCTGATGTCTTCACCAAGGCACTTGCGCCTTATGATCATCAGCGTTGTTGCACGCAGTTGGGTCTTGTGCCTGTCTTGCCTCACTTGCTCTCCTCTTGACCTTGCTTGTACCTTCGCCTATATATACTCTTGCTCTTGCTTACTTGACTCTTGTATATCTCTATATATGATCTTGCATGTGAACTGGCCATGTGGCCTTGAACTTGTGCTCGGAATGTGTGGTGACTTTGTGATCCACCCTGAGCTTTGCTTTGCTTTGCTTGACTGGTCTTGTGACCCCTTGTTCTCCCCCACTTTGCCTATGGGGGTGTGTCAGAACTATATAGCTTATACTATTGTGTAGGCTATAGTGGGGTATCCCATAGGGGGTACAACCCAATTAGGGTTTCCTATTTGTACTCACTTCTTTCATAGTCATTCCATTCTCGTTCTCTATTTCACAGGTGGCAGCAGTGGCGGAGACGGTGGTGGTGGTGCCAGCAGTGGTGGTGGAGGCAGCGGCGGTGGTGGAGGCGGCGGAGGTGGAGGCGGTGGAGGCGGCAGCGGAGGAGGCGGTGGTGGTGGAGGAGGTGGAGCTGGTCGAGGTGGTACCCAGCAGCGTAGCGGCGGTGGTGGTGGCCAGCGCTCGCAGCGGCAGCAGCAGCAGCGCTCGCGGGACATCCCTCCGCCTCAGCAGCTTCGTGAGTGGTACGTTGGGCGTCAGAGGGGTGGGGGTACTGGTCCCTGCACCTACGTTCTTCGTTCCGGCGACCGCGCGGGTGAGCAGTGTGGGGGTGCCCACGCCACCCAGCGCTGCTTTGGCCGCCTGACGGACGCTTGGCGTCAGCAGTTCCCTGGGGCTAGTGAGATCCCTCGCTGGGATGAGCTTCTCAGGGCTGGTGTAGCGATCTTTGATTTTGATTTTGATGCTATCCTTGCTGCTATGTATGTTGTGGATTATAGTGAGGAGAATGAGGGTTACCGTTGTTTCCAGCCCGACCCGGGCATTGGTACTGCTGCGCTAGGTGCTTGTGAGGCTGCTGCTCTAGGTGCCAGTGCGTCTGTGCTCTCAGGTACTGGTGAGACTGCGCTCTCAGGTACTGCGTCGTCCTCGTCCTCCCTCACTTTCACACTTGACTCCGGAGCTTCTCGCTCCTTCTTTCGAGACCGCACTACCCTTACGCCGCTCGGCCGGCCGGTTGCGGTCTCCCTTGCTGACCCCTCTGGGGGTCCTGTCCTGTCTCACTTCTCCACTGTCCTCCCGTGTCCGGCTGCCCCTTCGGGCACCCTGTCGGGTCTGTACCTTCCCTCGTTCTCTACGAACTTGGTGAGTGGAGCGGACCTGCAGGATGTGGGGGTTCACCAGTTCACTCCTGCGAGTCAGCGGGTGACCCACTGCACGGAGGCACGCACAGGCCGACACCTGGCCACGTTCTCGCGTCGGCCGGGGTCGAGTCTCTACACCCTGACCGTTGAGTCTCCTCCTGTCCCTGCGTCTGGTCAGGTGGCTGCGTCGGGTCAGGTGCTTGCTGCTGCGTCCCGGTCAGGTCCTGAGTCTGCCCCCTGTTCTTGTCGCCTCCTGTCTCACGAGACTCTCCTGTGGCACCACCGTCTTGGCCACCCCTCCTTGCCCCGTCTTCGGAGCATGGCTTCCCGTGTCCTTGTCTCTGGTCTTCCCCAGTCTCTCCCTCCTCTCCCCTCCGGGCCAGGACCTTCCTGTGTCCCCTGTGTCGAGGGTCGCCTCCGGGCTACTCCTCACTCCTCCCACTTCCCCCCGACAGAGGCTCCCCTGCAGACGCTTCACATGGATGTGTGGGGCCCAGCCCCCGTCCGTGGGCAGGGTTACGAGCGCTACTTCCTGTTGGTGGTTGACGACTACTCGCGTTACACCACAGTCCTCCCCTTGCGCAGCAAGGGTGCGGTCACTGAGGTGCTGATCGACTGGATCCGTGAGGCTCGTCTCCAGCTCAGAAGAGCTTCGGCTCGGACTTTCCTGTTCTGCGTCTGCACTCTGACAGAGGCGGAGAGTTCTCTTCTCGCCTTCTGCGGGACTACTGTCGTGCACGGGGGATCCGCCAGACCTTCACGCTTCCGGACTCACCACAGCAAAATGGGATTGCTGAGCGCCGCATTGGTATGGTCATGGATGTCGCTCGTACGTCCATGATGCATGCGGCTGCCCCCCATTTTCTGTGGCCGTTTGCGGTGAGGTACGCGGCGCATCAGCTCAACCTTCACCCCCGGGTCTCTCGGCCTGCGATGTCCCCAGCCTTGCTGTGGACGGGGAAGGTTGGCGATGCGTCTGTGTTCCGTGTCTGGGGATCTCGGGCGTTTGTCCGCGACTTGTCTGCGGACAAGCTGTCCCCTCGTGCTGCTCCCTGTGTCTTCCTTGGCTTCCCCACTGACGCCCCAGGGTGGCAGTTTTACCACCCCTCCTCTCCTCGTGTTCTGTCCTCCCAGGACGTGGACGTGGACGTGGACGTGGACGTGGAGGACTTGGACGTGGACATGGACGTGGACGTGGAGTGGACGTGGACGTGGACGTGGACGTTGACGTGGACGTGGACGTGGACATGGACGTGGACGTGGACGTGACGTGGACGTGGACGTGGACGTGGATGTGGACAAAGACGTGGAGGTGGACATGGACGTGGACATGGACGTGGACGTGGACGTGGGCGTGGACGTGGACGTGGACGTGGACGTGGAGGACTTGGACGTGGAGATGGACGTTGACGTGGACGTGGACGTGGACGTGGACATGGACGTGGACGTGGACATGGACGTGGACGTGGACATGGACGTGGACATGTACGTGGACGTCGACGTGGAAGTGGACGTGGACGTGGAGAACTTGGACGTGGACATGGACGTGGACATGGACGTGGACGTGGATGTTGACGAAGACATGGTCGTGGATGTGGACGTGGACGTGGACGTGGACATGGACTTAGACGTGGACGTGGACGTGGACGTGGACGTGGACGAGGTCGTGGACGTAGACGTGGTCGTGGACATGGACGTGGACGTGGACATGGACGTGGACGTGGACGTGGACGTAGACATGGACGTGGACCTAGACGTGGACGAGGACGTGGACGTGGACATGGACGTGGACGTGGACGTAGACAGGGACATGGACTTGGACATGGACGTGGACGTGGACATGGACATGGACACGTCCACGTCCATGTCCACATCCACGTCCATGTCCACGTCCACGTCCATGTCCACGTCCATGTCCATGTCCATGTCCACGTCCACGTCCACGTCCACGTCCATGTCATTTGCACTCTAAGTTCCCATACTGACCGACCTGGCCAATGCACCATTTTCCATATACATATGTATTAGATTCCTTTCGAACCTTATTAGCTCACTAGATTTATATATTTCCCACCTTCTGATCGAGTGAGACCGCTAGATTCGCTCTCCTTTTTGAGAAATGAGCGTTTCCGTTCTCCTTGGCCCTAGTTGCACTATAAGTGCGAAATGCCGGCCAGACTGGCCGATGCACAATTTTCTCTTTACATGTGCGTTAGTTACCTTTCAAACCCTTACGTTCACTAGATGAATTCCTACTTTCTATTTGAGTGAGACCACTTGATTCCGTGTACTATGCGAGATCTGAGCGCTTCCGTTCTCCCTGGCATTTGCATTTTAAGTTCCGATACTGACCGACCTGGCCAATGCACCATTTTCTCTATACATGTGCATTGAATACATTTCAAACCTTTTTAGCTGACTAGATTTATATATTTCCCACCTTCTCATCTAGTGAGACCGTTAGATTCCCTCAACTTTTTGAGAAACGAGCGTTTCTGTTCTCTCTGGCCCCACCTGCACTATGAGTGCGAAATGCCGGCTAGAGTGGCCAATGCACCATTTTCTCTACACATGTGCGTTAGTTACCTTTCAAACCCTTACGTTCACTAGATGAATATATTTCCTACCTTATATTTGAGTGAGACCACTAGATTCCGTGTATTATGCGAGATCTGAGCGGTTCCGTTCCCCCAGGCATTTGCACTCTAAGTTCCCATACTGACCGACCTGGCCAATGCACCAGTTTCCATATACATATGATTAGATTCCTTCCGAACCTTATTAGCTCACTAGATTTATATATTTCCCACCTTCTGATCGAGTGAGACCGCTAGATTCCCTTTACTTTTTGAGAAATGAGCGTTTCCGTTCTCCTTGGCCCTACTTGCACTATAAGTGCGAAATGCCGGCCAGACTGGCCGATGCACCATTTTCTCTACACATGTGCGTTAGTTACCTTTCAGACCATTACGTTCACTAGATGAATTTATTTCCTACCTTCTATTTGAGTGAGACCACTAGATTCCGTGTACTATGCGAGATCTGAACGCTTCCGTTCTCCTTGGCATTTGCACTCTAAGTTCCCATACTGACCGACCTGGCCAATGCACCATTTTCCATATACATATGCATTAGATTCCTTTCTAACCTTATTAGCTCACTAGATTTATATATTTCCCACCTTCTAATCGAGTGATACCGCTAGATTCCCTCTACTTTTTGAGAAATGAGCGTTTCCGTTTTCCCTGGCCCTAGTTGCACTATAAGTGCGAAATGCCGGCCAGACTGGCCGATGCACCATTTTCTCTACACATGTGCGTTAGTTACCTTTCAAACCCTTACGTTCACTAGATGAATATATTTCCAACTTTCTATTTGAGTGAGACCACTTGATTCCGTGTACTATGCGAGATGTGAGCGCTTCCGTTCTCCCTGGCATTTGCATTTTAAGTTCCGATACTGACCGACCTGGCCAATGCACCATTTTCTCTATACATGTGCGTTGAATACATTTCAAACCTTTTTAGCTGACTAGATTTATATATTTCCCACCTTCTGATCGAGTGAGACCATTAGATTCCCTCTACTTTTTGAGAAACGAGCGTTTCCGTTCTCTATAGCCCCACCTGCACTATAAGTGCGAAATGCCGGCCAGACTGGCCGATGCACCATTTTCTCTACACATGTGCGTTAGTTACCTTTCAAACCCTTACGTTCACTAGATGAATATATTTCCTACCTTATATTTGAGTGAGACCACTAGATTCCGTGCATTATGCGAGATCTGAGCGGTTCCGTTCTCCCAGGCATTTGCACTCTAAGTTCCCATACTGACCGACCTGGCCAATGCACCACTTTCCATATACATATGATTAGATTCCTTCCGAACCTTATTAGCTGACTAGATTTATATATTTCCCACCTTCTGATCGAGTGAGACCGCTAGATTCCCTTTACTTTTTGAGAAATGAGCGTTTCCGTTCTCCTTGGCCCTACTTGCACTATAAGTGCGAAATGCCGGTCAGACTGGCCGATGCACCATTTTCTCTACACATGTAGGTTAGTTACCTTTCAAACCTTTACGTTCACTAGATGAATTTATTTCCTACCTTCTATTTGAGTGAGACCACTAGATTCCGTGTACTATGCGAGATCTGAGCGCTTCCGTTCTCCCTGGCATTTGCACTCTAAGTTCCCATACTGACCGACCTGGCCAATGCACCATTTTCCATATACATATGCATTAGATTCCTTTCGAACCTTATTAGCTCACTAGATTTATATATTTCCTACCTTTTGATCGAGTGAGACCGCTAGATTCCCTTTACTTTTTTAGAAATGAGCGTTTCCGTTCTCCTTGGCCCTACTTGCACTATAAGTGCGAAATGCCGGCCAGACTGGCCGATGCACCATTTTCTCCACACATGTGCGTTAGTTACCTTTCAATCCCTTACGTTCACTAGATGAATTTATTTCCTACCTTCTATTTGAGTGAGACCACTAGATTCCGTGTACTATGCGAGATCTGAGCGGTTCCGTTCTCCCAGGCATTTGCATTTTAAGTTCCGATACTGACCGACCTGGCCAATGCACCATTTTCTCTATACATGTGCGTTGAATACATTTCAAACCTTTTTAGCTGAATAGATTTATATATTTCCCACCTTCTGATCGAGTGAGACCATTAGATTCCCTCTACTTTTTGAGAAACGAGCGTTTCCGTTCTCTATAGCCCCACCTACACTATGAGTGCGAAATGCCGGCCAGACTGGCCGATGCACCATTTTCTCTACACATGTGCGTTAGTTACCTTTCAAACCCTTACGTTCACTATATGATTATATTTCCTACCTTCTATTTGAGTGAGACCACTAGATTCCGTGTACTATGCGAGATCTGAGCGCTTCCGTTCTCCCTGGCATTTGCACTCTAAGTTCCCATACTGACCGACCTGGCCAATGCACCATTTTCCATTTACATATGCATTAGATTCCTTTCGAACCTTATTAGCTCACTAGATTTATATATTTCCCACCTTTTGATCGAGTGAGACCGCTAGATTCCCTTTACTTTTTGAGAAATGAGCGTTTCCGTTCTCCTTGGCCCTACTTGCACTATAAGTGCGAAATGCCGGCCAGACTGGCCGATGCACCATTTTCTCCACACATGTGAGTTAGTTACCTTTCAAACCCTTACGTTCACTAGATGAATATATTTCCAACTTTCTTTTTGAGTGAGACCACTTGATTCCGTGTACTATGCGAGATGTGAGCGCTTCCGTTCTCCCTGGCATTTGCATTTTAAGTTCCGATACTGACCGACCTGGCCAATGCACCATTTTCTCTATACATGTGCGTTGAATACATTTCAAACCTTTTTAGCTGACTAGATTTATATATTTCCCACCTTCTGATCGAGTGAGACCATTAGATTCCCTCTACTTTTTGAGAAACGAGCGTTTCCGTTCTCTATAGCCCCACCTGCACTATGAGTGCGAAATGCCGGCCAGACTGGCCGATGCACCATTTTCTCTACACATGTGCGTTAGTTACCTTTCAAACCCTTACGTTCACTAGATGAATATATTTCCTACCTTATATTTGAGTGAGACCACTAGATTCCGTGCATTATGCGAGATCTGAGCGGTTCCGTTCTCCCAGGCATTTGCACTCTAAGTTCCCATACTGACCGACCTGGCCAATGCACCATTTTCCATATACATATGCATTAGATTCCTTTCGAACCTTATAAGCTCACTAGATATATATATTTCCCACCTTGTGATCGAGTGAGAGTGCTAGATTCCCTTTACTTTTTGAGAAATGAGCGTTTCCGTTCTCCTTGGCCCTACTTGCACTATAAGTGCGAAATGCCGGCCAGACTGGCCGATGCTCCATTTTCTCTACACATGTGCGTTAGTTACCTTTCAAACCCTTACGTTCACTAGATGAATTTATTTCCTACCTTCTATTTGAGTGAGACCACTAGATTCCGTGTACTATGCGAGATCAGAGCGCTTCCGTTCTCCCTGGCATTTGCACTCTAAGTTCCCATACTGACCGACCTAGCCAATGCACCATTTTCCATATACATATGCATTAGATTCCTTTCGAACCTTATTAGCTCACTATATTTATATATTTCCCACCTTCAGATCGAGTGAGACTGCTAGATTCCCTTTACTTTTTGAGAAATGAGCGTTTCCGTTCTCCTTGGCCCTACTTGCACTATAAGTGCGAAATGCCGGCGAGACTGGCCGATGCTCCATTTTCTCTACACATGTGCGTTAGTTACCTTTCAAACCCTTACGTCCACTAGATGAATTTATTTCCTACCTTCTATTTGAGTGAGACCACTAGATTCCGTGTACTATGCGAGATCTGAGCGCTTCTGTTCTCCCTGGCATTTGCACTCTAAGTTCCCATACTGACCGACCTGGCCAATGCACCATTTTCCATATACATATGCATTAGATTCCTTTCGAACCTTATTAGCTCATTAGATTTATATATTTCCCACCTTCTGATCGAGTGAGACCGCTAGATTCCCTCTACTTTTTGAGAAATGAGCGTTTCCGTTCTCCTTGGCCCTACTTGCACTATAAGTGCGAAATGCCGGCCAGACTGGCCGATGCGCAATTTTCTCTACACATGTGCGTTAGTTACCTTTCAAACCCTTACGTTTACTAGATGCATATATTTCTTACCTTATATTTGAGTGAGACCACTAGATTCCGTGTACTATGCGAGATCTGAGCGGTTCCGTTCTCCGAGGCATTTGCACTCTAAGTTCCCATACTGACCGACCTGGCCAATGCACCACTTTCCATATACATATGCATTAGATTCCTTCCGAACATTATTAGCTCACTATAATTATATATTTCCCACCTTCTGATCGAGTGAGACAGCTGGATTCCCTCTACTTTTTGAGAAACGAGCGTTTCCGTACTCCTTGGCCCTAGTTGCACTA